GGTGGGGGGGTGGGATTTGAGCTGGATGGATATTTGCGTCTTGTTTGAGTTGCTGAAATAGTCTCACTTCATTTCACAGACCACAGTCTGGTGTCTGAGGGTCCTTGGGATAATGCCGACCTGTTCAGGTTTAGCTCCTTCCCCAGCCTCTCACCTCCTATTTGCATTTGTTTTCCACTTGGATAAACACTGCTGGTTTCCTACACACTCTCCCTGACACTCACATTTCACAAAGTCTGAAGGACAGAAATTGATGTGTGCTGATGCTAATTTTACCTTTTGTAACATCGGTTTGCAAGAAATACAATACAGCTGCACAAAGGCTGCCAGGAGCTGGCTGGGAACTGTTGGCAACGTTTGCCATCTCCTGGAGGACTGTAGCAATAGCAGAATTCGACTTGTCTCGCTGTGGCACTTGATACCTCCTGTGTCCTCTCTTTACAGAGCCTCCTCAGTGGATAAAGGAGCCCGAAGGTGGTGTTTACAGTGTAGGAACAAATCTGGTGCTGCTGTGTGAAGCTATTGGCAACCCAGAGCCAACCATTCAGTGGAAACTCAACGGGATGCCCATCGATAGTAAGTGCAAGGTCCAGCATCCTCGTATAGGTGGTGGCCAGGTGGGATGTGCCAGTGTAGTGCCCAGTTAGAGGGAATACACAAATCCTGATACCCGAAATGATGTCTGGTTTGACACCTATTTAGACATGAATTAATATTTATTTACTTAAAGCTAATGTTTAAATGTGATCTTGAAGAGAGTAGGGGTGAAGGCTGCAGGGTGTGGGGTGTTGGTACCCGTGAGTTACTGCCTCTGCCTCACTCTGGGGAATCTGGGATGGCTTATGTTCATTGAGGGCTCCTGGTCTTTCTTTGTGCTTCTGAATAAGCACAAGTGACTGTGTGTCTGGGGAGCACACACTTCTCCCTGGTGTAACAATATTATTACTACCATTTTAAAAGATGTATATGGGGATTTTACTGGAAATTAATGCTCTAGAGCACTTTCTTTTGGCCATGAGAATGATGGCAAATGCGGTCTCTGCAGTTTGCTGTCTGGCTGTTGAGCAACGTCCTGGTTTCATCCTGAAGATGCTCTTTGCCTTTGACTTTCAAGCAGTGAGGAGAGACTGTGAACTTCACAATCGTGTTTTCTCCATCTCCTGATACAGTCTGGGTCTTTCCAGGTAGGACCTTCAGAGGGAGAATCTCTTCCAGAGAAATCAGCCTTACCAACCTTCAGCTTCAGGACAGTGCTGTGTACCAGTGCGAGGCCAGCAACAAGCATGGCACCATCCTCGCTAGCGCCAACGTGAACGTCCTCAGTGAGTACCAGCCCTTCCTCTTCATGGAAGAGGTCTAACCGAAGTGTCCCATTCTGCTGACTGAATCTTCAGAGCAGCTTGGGGTTTGTAACCATGTCATGTTCCTTCGCATTGCCCCCAGATTTCAAGAAACGCATTGTCCAAACTAATGCAACAAGCCTTATCAAGGACAATATTCTATGATTAGCATAAGTGCTCATGAGCTTTGATATGATCTTTATTTTAAATACATGACTATCGTTGGGCTTAAAACCTTTTGAATTCAAATGTACTAAAATCGCTGAATTGTGAGCACAACTCTGGTTTTGGATTGCTATGTGTATTGTTAATCTTTATTTTCAGTTGTGATACTCGACCTGTTCTTTGAAGAAAGTGATGAGAATTTGTTTAATAGAAGAGGTCTCTAGAGGAAACAGATCTGAGTTTATTTTCTCTCCTGGAGAACATTGAGGTTTCATGTTCTGCCATGTCCAGCAGCCAACCACCATTATCTTTGTCAGTGAAGCTTCTAAGAGCTCAGCTGCTCGGTGCAACTGGTTCCAAAAGGCAGTGAAATTCCCATCAAGTGGCTAAGCCTTTGACCTTTGTTGGAGAAGGGAATGATGCAGGCACAGTATTTATATTCTGAAATGCAGCACTGCTCCTTTTGCATTTTCTTTTGCAGATATTGCTCCCTTAATACTGACCTCAGATGGTGAAAACTATGCTACAGTTGTGGGTTACAGTGCCTTTCTGCACTGTGAAATTTTTGCCTCGCCTGCAGCAGATATTAGATGGTAAGCCACTGAGAACCGATGTTTTCGTGTTAAACAAGTTTATTCAGGCTCCCCAGACATTGAAAAATGTGCTAGTTGTTATTTTTATGGAGTTAAAATCAGGAATTTGTAACAAAGCGGTAGATAATAGAAGTATTCTATGTTTAAATGCACTTTCAAGTGCTCTGAAGAACTGGTTTGTAATTAAAGGTTAATGGCAGTTCTCGATACCGGTGTGATACAAGTGCTGGGATATTCATTAAACCAAGCCATGCTGCAGATAGCTAAATCCTGCTACAGCTTCACTGGCCTTAGTCTAATGTTGGCAACTTTTGTAATTTGCACACATTATTGAGGTGGAAACCTGATGACTTACGGAGCATATTTACCTGGAAATGGTTCCATATGGTTAGAAATCACAGGATTCTCGTAGCACTTGACAGGTGCAATAAAATTGCAGATGACAGGTATAGATTAAAGGCTCAGCCAGACTAGTCTGAAGACCATACTAGATGCTGTCAGTATGGTTTTGGTTTGCGAGAAGCTTATGTCCCTTTACGATTTGCCTGCACATGGATAAAATGAGTTACTAATCGTGACTTTGTTGTTCATTGGCAGATCTGAGACCAGCTCCCAAAATGCCTGTATCCCCTGCAATATCTGCTAACCATGAAATAACAGTTGCTGTAGCCTTAGAAATAATGCATAGCTATTGTTATCATCTGTAGGACTAAGGATGACAGCATAGAGCCGCTTTCAACATTACGCTATGAATTAAATAAGAATGGCACCCTAGAGATCAAGGAAACGAGGAAAGAAGACTCAGGGTCGTATGCTTGCTGGGCTGCGAACTCAGTTGGAAAAAGAGCAATCACTGCTAATCTGGATATAAGAGGTAATATCTCATTTATGAATAGAAAGACTTTTAACATCTGCTAAGGTTTTATATTTACAAATTTTCAGTAGGTAACTAGTAAATAATCAGCCCAAGATACAGATTTATTATTTTATTATTTATATGTAGCAGTTAGTATCATCTCCATTTTTCTGTGTGATTTCTCCATGCTCATACATTATGTTTAATTTCTTTCTGACTCTTGCAGAAGTTGCACAACTCACCAAAAACTTACAGAAGTTGCATAACCCTCAAAAACTTGCAGTTTACTTCCCAGATCAGTTAACTTGATTAGTTTGAAATGATAGATACAAGGAGGAAGTTCTTCCCTGTGAGGGGGGTGAGGCCCTGGCAGAGGTTGCCCAGAGAAGCTGTGGCTGCCCCCTCCCTGGCAGGGTTCAAGGCCAGGTTGGACGGGGCTTTGGGCAACCTGGGCTGGTGGAAGGTGGCCCTGCCCAGGGCAGGGGGGTGGGAACTAGATGAACTTTAAGGTCCCTTCCAACCCAAACCATTCTGTGATTCTACGATTTTCTCTCCTTCTTGCCATTAGCCATGCTACACTCAGAGCGGGTTCTTGGCTGACCCTTGGGAGCCCAGAGCCCTCCCTGTGCTCGTGGGCTTGGTGGGCTCCTCACTGAGCCAAAGAGGGGCCCTGCATCTCCCACGGCCATGGGCTTCCTCCTTCCCTAAAGCTACTTCCCATCTGTTGATCAGAAGGTACATCTCAAACTGAATAAATACCCACAGCAAACACCAAGTACATTGCAGCAGGATGAGTTAGAGGATGCTGCTGTTATGAGGGCTTTGCACTGGGCCTTTGCCTGAGTAGCAAGTTGACAAATATCTGTAAATAGAGAAAAAAGATTTCTGAAATGTGTTTACTCATACATTTCAGATACATACCTTGTGCTTTAATTCTGTTTTAAGGGATTTATTTGGTTAGTTGTCCAGGAGGGGCCTTTTCCCTGAGCGGGTGCTGTGAAAAACTTGAGAAAGAAACACTCTGCTTGTGTTTTATTTCCACCCACTCCTTTTGCTTTGTAAATTTTACAGTGGTAATAAACATGAAAATGTACAATGAAATTCTCACAGAGCAACATTTCGCTGTAAAAAATAAATTCAGCCTGCTTTCTTCTTACTTACTCATCTGTTTCTGCATTCAGATTAGAGTCAATTAAAAGAACAAACTTGATTGCAATAATTTTTTCTCACTTGACTTTAATAAGCTTGTAATTTTTCTTGGATCATTGCCAAAGCCTATTTCAAATGGCAATTGGACATAAAAATCATATTTAAGCCTTTTTTTTTTTTTATCATCCATTTTATGACAGTCTGCTAACAAGGATTTTCACCTGTGACTCTTTTTTTGTGGTTGTTGTTTTTTTTTTTTGTCTGAAGTTCTTTAGTTTGGAGTGAACTAAAAAAAAAATTTTCAAGATAGAATATTAAATCCTGGCAAATAGCTTTTTCAAAACCAACCATCCTTCACTTGAAATATTTGTGTATATAACCAAAAAGACATGATCATTGCTCCTGAGGTGATTTTTATATATGAAGTGCTTGGTGAAAATTTGATGTAATAGTGTCTGTCTCTCTCTCCTAATCAAAGTTTTTTTCTATGATCAATCAGATGCTACAAAACTTGTTGTTACTCCAAAGAATCCCCGAGTGTTGAAATCACATTCAATTTTATTGAAATGTCAGTCTGAGTATGATTCACACTTGAAACACAGTTTTAAATTATCCTGGAGGAAAGATGGAGATCAGCTGCCAGTCAACAGCACAGAAAATGGCAGGTGAGCGGGGAAGAAACAAGAGTTTTCTTGATCTCAGCTGAATAATGCTTTATGGTGCTTGAACATGAGTTTCAATAAGCACGAGTCTTAATAGCTTGAAATGCAAATTTATGTCTGCAAGAATTCTTCATGCAATATGTGAATAGACCTGCTTTTTATATACATAGAAATATAAATGCATCTGTATGAGTTTTGAGTCATGGCTGGCAAATCATTTTTGTTAGCTCTCTCACCATCATAGCAGAATATTGCGTAAATGTTGGTCTAATGCAAAAATACAGACCTAACCCCAGTGCAGTAAACTGAGGTTTTGTTTCTCCACTTCAGTGCAACTTGGTATTTTCCTGTGTTTTACATTTGTTTGACTAAAGCAAAGTCCTCATAATATTGAAGTGAGTGGAAAAGAGGTTTCTGGGATTCTGCCTAAAGTCATATACTTTACAAGCAGAGAGTATGAGTTCAGGACTTCCAAGTGCAGGCTGAATTTTGCCCTACTCTTTGCATTTCTGTTGACCTGACGGGGACGAAGCTCAACCTTTATTCCATACAAAAGGTCCCACAGTGGGCAGTCAGATGTCTTTATTAATTACTGCAGAAGAGAGATGGTTCCCTAAATACTGCAGTGCTGGAGAGGCTGAAGATCCTGCTGGGGCCACGTAGTGGAGGGAGATAGCGCCAAGCAAATGCCGTGTCTGCAGCAGACCCCATGTGCCTGGGTTAATGCCAGTTTCCCCTGGTGCATTGGACATTACACAAGTGGGTTGGGAATGCTCAGTTTTACTCAACCCTTTCAAAAATTTGGACGTAAAGCCCATGTATTTGCCTCATTGATGGTGTGCCAAAATCCTATGTTCCAGACACTCAGCGGATGAATATCAATGTGGCTCTTTTCAGACCGAGAGAGACATGCCAACTTCCAGCCATGGAGGCTAAATTGCTACAAAATACAAATAATAGTCTACAGCACAGTGTATAATACAACTACAATTATGTTTTAAAGTAATAGGCCTAACGTGCAATTATGTTATTCACAACGTCCCGTTACCAAGTTTTTTTATGACCATTTTTTTGGAGAACAGCAGTGTCTGTCTATCATACGCTTATCTTATAGATTTTTCTCTTCCTTGTTTTTATGTACCTTTTATTTTTTTCCCCATAGGATAATTCTGGACAGGGATACACTGTTCATATCAAGCGTGACGCTGGAGGATCAAGGAGTTTACATGTGTGTGGCTAGCACTTCCCTGGACAGTGTCACAGCTGAATCGCAGTTAATTGTTCTGGGTAAGAGGATCTTTTGCCAGTGTGCAAACAGCTCCGTGGAGTACATAATGCCATTGCAGCACTATTGCATGTTTGCTTCTTTTTGCCCGATTCAGTTACAGAGCCTCGATAACCCAGTTTCACAGAGGTGCAATGTACCTCTCACTCATTAACCTCAGTTGAGCTATCCTTGTATCTCCTGGAATGGCGATGCTGACGCAAACTTTTCATTTCTATTTAATCTTTGTTATACCTAAGTTGAAGCAGCCTTTTCTCTCAGTTCAGGAGTCACCCACAGTGGCTGTAGGAGCTTGCCCAGTCTGGCAGGTGTAATAGGATGTTAAGAAAGACTCTGCTTCAGCTTTGAAGTCCTTGGTCAGTCCTTCGCCCTACTTTCCTAGGGATTTGCACACGTATTACTGCTTGGACTATTTTTTGAAAAAGATGTAAGGTCAGTATTTAGATGTCCAACTCCTCTGAAGATCAGTGGAAGTTAAGCACCTAAAAGGATGAATTATCTCTGAATCTGAGCATAAATTATTGTTCAGTGGCAAAGAGCAAGTCCACAGCAGAGAAAAGCGTTGACCCACAGAGTCTGGAGATTGACTGTGTGAGCATCCTTACAACCTGCCTCCCTTCCTGAAGGGCCACTTGAAATTGAGGGTGTGAACTTGTGCAGCGATGTGCAGTTCTTTGCACATGTACCTAAGGGCATCAGCCAATAGTTCTGTTTTGTGAACAGTTTTGCATCATTTTAATTTAATGAATTTTTGCTTCATTTTACATTTTTATTTATTTCTGGCAGTGATTGCAACAAGAACTAAGACAATCTGACCTTCAAGATGTTTTCACACTAAATGAATTGTATATTTCAGTAAATAGTAAATTAAGAAGATGCTGTGCACATTGTTTGTGGTAAAGTGTTCTTTAGTGCTGTATAATTCAAAATGTTTGTAGACTATTTGTTACATTACTTATGAAAATTTCACGAAGCACTTTATTCTCTTTTAAAAAGGTGATTTGCAGAAGAGAAAAAATGAGTCATTTTTTACCCCTTGTTTATTGTATATAAGAAAGGTCTTGATGGATTAACAATATCTGTTATTTTCCAAATGAAAAATTCAGGCTTCCATTTCAAAGAGAGACTTGTGAGATGGCTAAAGAATTAAATATGGCACAGATGGAGACATCCTAATATGGGCAACTAAGAGCAAAAGAAATATTCAGTTAGAATACTTCTAAGTATTTGTTCTATGATTGATTAATGAACAGATAGAGGGGTGAGTATCTTTAAGATGTACCATTGCCATCTTTAAATTAATATATTGAATTTTAACACCAGATATGCCTCAGGAATACAACAGCAAAACGCCTGTACATTAAACTGCGCTTTCCTGATTTTTCCCAAGTACAACAGAAATAGGGTAAATAAATGCAAACAAAACTAAAACAAAAACCCCAACCCTGATATAACCTTTTATACTTTTTTATGTACTCTGAGATAAACAAGAAAACTCAATACTGTTATTTTTAAAATGCAGTACAAACACAGTTAATTTCTTTCACAGTGACAGAGGCAGTACTGGTAGCTGTTTTTCCTGTAAGAAATTACATTGCCAGCTAAATATGTAGTGGGAACATTGGGGCAGGAGGAGGTCAAAGGCCCGAGGTCTGTGCAATCTTGTTTTCTTGGTCTGTGCATTTTCTAGGTTTTGAAACACCAGCTTTATGTTTAAGGAGGGCATGTGTGTGTGTGTGTGTGTGTGTGTCTTTGGAAGGATGAGGAGTTATCATCAGTCCCCTGCAGTGAGAAATTACTCTTTTACATTAGGCCCTATACATTTCAGTTACCAAACTAATCCAGTACAATCTGACTGCAAACTGTCAAAGCAAACTATAAGGAAGACAAACCTCTCTGTCTGAAATTGCAGTATTTGAAAGTTCATTCAATTACAGGCAATCTGACAAATGACCCTTGCTGCAGATCACCTCTTCTGCCCCTGCTGCTGTAGGGAAACCAGGTCATGTGGAAGATGTTGTGTCCCCCTTGCCATCTCCCAGGCTTGTGAAGGGGAGCAGCCTATTTCAGTGGTGCTGGTAACCCCAGCCCAGGCTAAGACCACATCCCCGAAAAGTGAGCTCCGACAGCAACAGGGTAGTCCCGTGCTCAGGCTTGTATAGCCCCGCACTTGTCCCCGGGAGGCGCAGTGCAGTTGTCGTACCAATCACCAACAACTCTGACTTTGCTAGATTCTCTGGACAGCACTGGTTGAGCTGGCAGATAATGAATTTTCTTGTTTCCTTTTAATATGGACCCCCATGGCTGGGATAATGAATGTTATCTTTTCACTCATACTCTAAAAGACCAAGTTCGATACCTGTCAGAGCTGAGTCACCTTCTACCACTCTGGTTTGCACCAGTGTAAATCCAAGTGATGCTAAAATAGCTTTCTGCCGAGAGGACTGTCAATATCTGTTAATGATTAAATAGATCTTAGTGTTGATTTGAAAAGAAAAATCTGTTGCTGCAAGAACAGTAATGAGAGTAGATGTAAATGAACTCAAGAAGGGATACTGCATTATTAAGAGAGAAAGCAGTACCAGAAGATTCAGCCTGGGTTTCTGTAATAAAAAAAGATATTTAAAAGCTATTCCCACTTTCCTCACTTTGTTCATTTTGAAATCAAATGATGTTTTACCACCATCTTCACTGAACTTGCTGTTCCAGTCCTTTGGAAGATACCAAGACAAACAGAAAGAGCTTGCCATGCTCCTGACACTTCATTATTTTTCAGATGTTCCTGATCCACCAGAAGACCTTCAGCTCTCAGAAAATCAAAACCGAAGTGTTCGACTAGCCTGGAAAGCCGGGGCCAGTCATAACAGCCCTATTAATGGTATGAAGGATTTTAATAACATCATCTTGCACTGTTTAGCATTATGGCACGTCGTGGCTCTTAGAAGAAACAAACCGTGCTCACCACCATACTTAATCGGTTTTACTATGACAGTTAATTTGTTGTAAGTTCATTTCCACCCTTGCTATTTATAAGCTGTTTATATTGGCTCTGCCTTTTTTTTTCTTTTGTTTTGTTTCTTTTCTTCCCCAGAGTCGATTATAGAGTTTGAAGAGAACCGGTGGGAGCCAGAGAGGTGGCAGGAGCTAACCCGAGTGCCGGGGAATGACACCACAGCCCTTTTGTCACTGGCCCCATATATGAATTACCAGTTTCGTGTGGTATCTGTGAATGCTGTGGGAAGGAGCCAGCCCAGTAAACCATCGCTGCGCTATGCAACACCTCCAGCTGGTAAACACTGCCATCTAGTTTTCTGAATATTCATATCTCTAGTGTTTTGCTGGGAATAACATTGCCCTCCTGTGCTTCAGAGAGCTGTAAAGAAGCCAGGGTCACTTGTGCTGCTTCCAGTGCTCAGTGGCGGGCCAGGGGTGCCAAAGTGAGGAGGCTACACTGGTTAGCAGGGTGTTTCCTACCGTCCAGCACAGCGCTTTTCTGAGCTCTGCTGATTTTGTACCCTTAAAGCCCATTGCAGGCCTCTACGGACAAGCAGTTGCTGGAGAAGATCAGGGTTTATGAGGGGCCTTTCAGCAGTGCTGAGCTTGTCAAAAATCTCCATTCACAGTGCATTTCTTACTGTGACAGAAAACATTGTGTCCCTGAAAGTCATTTTAGAGGCCAACTGTTCAGCACAGCATTTGCATTCCTTGGCATTTTTCTTTCACTTTTTTTTTCCCCTTTGCTTCAATTTCAGGTCCTTCTTCAGCTTTTCAGCTGTGTGCATCCCACTAATGATATACCTTCTGTTTACTATCCCCATAGGGAGAAATATCTCTTCCTCATAATCCCCCTACATCTGGTGCTTTGAAATCCAAAAGTCACAGTTTCAAGTTAGCTGGTGGCTCCAACCAACAAGGGCACTTAGGAATCAAAACTGCATAAACAATGTGTTTTGGTCACAGCAACTTTGCTGATCCAAGTAATTAATCTCATGAACGTTTTTTGTTTAGATGTCTTTCAGTAATATGGAAATAAAATTTTTTAGTTTCCTCTTTTTTTTTGCATTTAAATGATACATGCAAATAAGCCCAGGTTATGCAAACTAACCTTATCACCTGTGTGGTTCCAGCTCCAGACAAGAACCCAGAAAATATCCGAGTTGAAGCTTCTGAACCAAATGAAATGGTGATGAAATGGGAGGTAAGGGAAATGTGTCCATCAGTGCTACATCAGAAACAGGTTCTCCCTTCAAGCAATAGTTTCTAAAGCAGCATGACAATTATCGGGTTGATTTCTTAATATAATTACATTTAAAAAGAAATAACAGTTCCCTTTATCTCCCTTTCTTGTACCCCTGGTTTTTAGGAAATATTAGCAAATTCCATAGGTAGGAACTCTGACGCTCCTGAAGTCAAAGTTGTTATTGACTTAAATTTGTTTTGGATTTCCTCCCCTAGTTTTATTTCTCTTTCAAGAGACAATATTTTACATCGAACTTTGGAGGTTATTAAGAAATATGAAAGTCCTATAAAGCACAGTGAGAATTCTCGAGAGTAGGATCATCTTCTATGCATCGTGCGTACAAGAAAGTGCTTAAAATAGTTGTGGCCTTACCCTGCCTTGCAGGAGGAGCAGCCAGGCCCAGGGATGGGATGATTTACACATAACTTCTGCCTTTCCAGCCTGGAGGTTTAAAAATGATGGGTATCACTTGGCCAAGTGAATGTGAGCTTGAATTTTTACATCAAGAATGAAAGGAGCATAGATAAAGCTAAGCACGTGTGTCAAAGGAATTGTGTAAAAGTCTTGAAGATGGTTTCCAGTCTTCAATTTCCCCGGCTTTTAGGCTTACAGCTTCTGTGCCAACAGTTTAGAGATATATATTCCTTCATTCAATGCAAATTTCGACAACTGTGCAAGGAAGCATATTTTTTTGTGGCTGGAATTAAACACAATTTACATGAGATTTACTTCTCAATCTGCTGCTCGCAGCAAAGAGCAATAAATGTTTCCCCAGTGTGAATTCATGGTTCAGGCTATAATTACGCCCAAAGGAGATGGCCCTTTAGGTCTATTGACTTGGATTTGAATGGGGATTTTTGCTGTACGACATAGCCCAGGGTCAGGGAAGACAATCCTGACTCTGAGAAGAAATGCAGGGTAACCAGCATGGCTGGGAAATGCTGCTGTGACCAGTGCTTCGTTGAACAGAGAAGGAGCTCCTCTCCGGGAAGCCTGTAATCCACTGCTTAAACAGGGCAAAAATAGAAGTGGAAACTGAGACTGAAGAGAGAGAATGGGATGGACAGGCTTTGTTAAATCTTGTTGAATCATTTGAATCTCATAAAAAGGATCTTTATTTGTGGTGTTTCCTGTATTCATTTCAGAGGAAATGCTAGGCACTGAACATGCTATTTCTGGCAGAGGAAGGCTGCAAAATGATGTTAATCTGCCTACTTTGGATTAAGAGATGAGATGAGTGTTAGTGACTAGCTTTTCAGCCAAGGATTTGCAGCATTAAGGGAGATCAAAATAAGAGTCAAGCAGTGCTGCAGTTTAACTCTAAGTGAGAAGTTATTTTTCAGTAGGGATTTTTTACTTCTTCAGCTGCTCTTGCAAATCACATTCCCCAGGATCTTTGTCATGGAGGTGAGTCTCCCACCTGTTAGAAAACTGCCCAGTCTACCGACTCCTTCACCACAGTCATCCCAAAGGTGCTTATAGCCTCAGAGAAGATAAGTGGGAATTTTTGCACATCCCTCAGACCAAGGTCCCTCCGTGCATGACGAGCATCAATGGGGCATCACTTTCTGCTGTCACTTGCAAATCAATGCCATTTCATTTCAAATAAGTGTGTGCAGCTTGAATACCTACCAGTTATTGTACATTTAATAAGTACAATATATAATTTCAATTTTATTAAAAGTAGTCTGTGTGGTGGGAAATACCCACAGCTGTTTCAGCAGACTTGAAATAACCTTCATTTTTGGTAATGCAGGTGACCAGTTAATTTTATTAATTAAAGAAGTACATTTTCAGAGAAATAAACTCAACTGGAGAATGTCTTATGACAAGCCATTGCTATATATCATCTAATATTTTATAAATTAATTTTAATTAGATGGGAACCATGCTGTGATGAATTCTTCAGCTGATTGGTAATAAAAGAGTTGCACAATAAATGTCCAGGTGTAGTTTCAAGCACGTGGTGCATATGTAGTACAAATCTAAATTTTGATAACCCAACTTGCTGTGCTACATAAAAATTCTAAGAAAAAGAATGCAGATTTTAGCTGTACTCAAAGGCACACACAGCCTTGTGCCAAGATACACATTTTAGTTGTGCTAAAAGGCATGTGGTTTTACATCACACAAGAAAACTAAGAAAACCTGTGGCAAAAGAAAAACTGATGTGTGTAGTATGCAGAAATACGTCTACTAGCAATTAATCTGGCTTAAATCTAACTGTTTCTCTGCCTTTCACCCAACTGTCTCTTGAAGTCATGACATTTTTTTCCAGTTGTCTTAAAATTAACATGACAATGAAAAGTTAAAGATTTCTTATTTCCCCTTTTTCTCTCCCAGTGTTGTAACATGCTCTCCAAAATTATTCCCCCCTCCCCTCAGCTGCTGTTTCATGATTACTGCAACAAAGGCAGACAAGATCTCTTTTAACTTCTTCCACAGCCATTGAAACCCGTGGAGAGGAATGGGCCGGGGCTGGAGTACAAAGTCAGCTGGCGGCAGCGGGGAGTCGAGGCGGACTGGAATGAGGAGACAGTGAAGAAGCATTCTCTGACCCTGCGAAACACCCCCACCTTTGTGCCTTATGAGATCAAAGTCCAAGCAGTAAATAATTTAGGATCCGGTCCTGAACCAAATGTTACCATCGGATATTCAGGAGAGGATGGTAAGTGGCAAAAACTTTCATGTAAAAATACGCTGCATGGGGGATTCTTGCGATGCAAAATGATCAGATGTGGAGTGATGGATTAGGCAGCACATGTCCAAAACTGCTTAAATGGCAGTGCTCAGCGTGGTGCGCTACATGAGAGGCAGATAGGACTGATGCTGAGTGCTGTGGATGCCAGCTCGCTGGAGTTTGAGAGCTGTTTTGGAAAGGTCACTTGTGCTTTCATTAATCTCAGTTGCTGGCTTAATCTGGATACTTGTTTGAAGGCCACAGTCCATAAGAAGTCTATGAAGTGTAGCCATCATTGTGTTGTACTTGGTGGGAAAAAAGTCTTTCGCTTGTCTGGGGCCCGATTCAACAGTTAAAAAGTTAAGTACTTGTCAGAAGTTAAGTACTCCGGCAATTAAGCATGAACACTCAAATGCTGGGTGTTGTAAGTGAATTTACAGATAATGCCACATTTCCATTTATGTAGGGTGTTACCTTGTCCATTGAGTCCTTGAAGAACAGGTTCTTCTTTTCCAGCCTGGGGTTCTGTCCAGAGACTTTCTGTGGCTCCTGGGTGGCACAGCCCCCTCACAGGCCTCCCTGTCTCACTGGAGAATTCTTTCTCCAGGGTAAGGCTTTGCTTTACGCTTTACATCCCTGGTCCAAGCCCCTTCCCTACATCTTCTCAGCACCTGTCCATCGCTGACTGGACTCTGCCTGGCACACAGTGCATCATCCAGGCCAGATCATTTCTTCCCTTGCACCTATTTTCACAAAATAGATGCCCTGGGCTGCTCTGAAGCAGCAGTCGCTTATGATACCCACCCTTTGTACATGCTCTTCAAGCTCCAACTTTATGGTGGACTTGATAATCGTGTCCTGTTAGGAGAGATGAACATGGGGGAGGATAGTCCTGCTAATAGAATGAATGCTGGTGCCACAGAGGATGCAAAAGCTCTGCTATGTCCGTGGGACACTGGATAATGTCACTGCTGAGGCCACCCCAACATCTCTGAACAGCAGCCTGTCCTCTTTGGTGTTTACTGTGTGACTAGAGAAGAAATTTGGAGGACTGGAAATGTATCCAGCTGCAGTAAAAAATACCAAGAATCACTTTAGGAAGCAACCCAGTTAAGCACTAACACCACCACCAAAAAAAAAAATCTTTTTTCTAGGAATTAAGGATTTAAATCAGCAAGGGAGTAACCAGCATGGTGGCCAGCTAGTATGGGGCACCAAGCTTCCCTGATCCCAAACACTAATGCCTATTTCATTTGCAAACGCATAGCAGAAGGGTCTGGGAGCTGCTGGCAAAGAGGGGCCAGGAGGGCCAGCGAATGGTCTGTGTTTCAGATCTGCAGCTTAATTTTATTAAAGTCATTCAGTTTTCATCCCATGCAGAGTCTGAAGTCTTTGTTTTTGTAAGAATGAAATACACTGACAGTTTGAGTGGCTTTTGCAAAGTCTACGGTGGATTAGCCAGTGAAGACAAGGATGTGTTTTGCTGCTTATTGAAATGACCAGCAGCCATGGCCTTGATTTAACCCACCATGTCCCGCAGCAGTCACACCCAGTAGCAGCAGTAGAGGTGCTGCTGCTCCCACCCCTCCACATGCTGTCGCTTCTCCCAGAAGCCATTACGGAGTATCATGACCCATGGCAGATGATATGAAACAGTCAGTAAAGTTACTGCGATGACCACAATGTAAAAAATGTCACCAGCTTTGCAGAGGGAAACGAATCCTAAAGCAGGCTCTCTGGATCACTCCTCTCACTGAGTGAGCGCCCCAAGATCTGCGTTATCAACCCTGAATGGACCAGTTTGATGTTTGCAACCTGCCGAGTGCTTCCTGGTATGACACCAGCATAAGGCTTTGGTGTTGGGAATGGTTTGGTGTGATGTTCAGACAGGAGAAGCCCCAATGCATGCCCTGAGGGGAACGACAGGAAGGTTTGGTGGTACATATTCTCTTCCCTGTAGAGTGTATGGCAGAAGAGGTGGTGAGCTGTGAGAACAGAAAGAAAGAAAACTCACAGCACGTTTATTTTCTTTGTGTGTCTGTGGTGGATCTAATTTTATATCTAGAAAGAAACCCTACAGCATGTTTATTTTCTTTCTGTGTCTGTGGTGGATCTAATTTTATAACTATCAGTGGAAAATCTTCCTTGCAATTCAGTTGTCAATGGATCAAGACTTCTTTTTTCAGGCACTGTAATAGCTCTCTGTGTTGTGTAGTGATTAAAATCCTACTGTTTAATGAGCTTAGTTGTAAAATGAAATTGATTATAAAAAAAAAACTTTATGATTGCCTTCTTGAGTGCTGTGTTAATCATTTTTTTTTATTCTTCTCGCTGCTGTAAGCATTACTTGAAACAGGAAATCATAAATACTGGTGTAGAAATTCATATGTCCCAGTTCACCTGTATTCCAGCCCTCAGCAGAAAGCCCTGATATGGCAAAATAATGTTTATTGGCCCATTTCACCCACTGGATGCAGGTGGAATGTCTTTTTTCTTGCCTGCAGTCAGACTGCATGAACTGCCACAGCTTGAGCTGGAAAGCCAAGCCCTGTAGCTGTGAACAGTGTGAAACTGAGCTCTTATAAGTGTCTTTATTATGCAGCACTTTTGTTTTTACAGTTCCAGATGCTGCTCCTTCCGGCGTATCGGTGGATATTGTGAACAGCACACTGGTCAAAGTCTACTGGTTTGGAATACCAAGGGACAGAGTTCGTGGACATTTGAAAGGCTATAAGGTTACAAATTTATCTTTAAATATTTGTATGCCGTTGAATGAACTACTAAATGAATGCCAGATCAAGGATAGATTGCAATCTCTCATTTCTGGGAAGATGAGAGAAATCAATATCATGTTCAACCCCATACAACATAATTTGTTATAGAAATACCAATCTCAATGCAGGTCAGTTGGTGGAAAACAAAAAGCATGCTGGATGGAAAAAGGCATCACCAAGAGAAACATTTCCTAACATTTGTGGGAGACAGAAACTATGGGATGATTCCTGGTCTAGAGCCCTTCAGTGAATTCCACTTAACTGTTTCGGCTTACAATGCCAAAGGAGATGGCCCGGAAAGCTCCCCCGTTGTGTTTGAAACTCCAGAAGGAGGTAAGACAAAATGAGAATATAGGACGGAGTGACATAAATATAAATTGTCCATTCAATAAGACAAATTTATTTCCTTACTTAAATTAATTAAATATTTGTAAAACCCTTCACTAGAAAGGGGAACTGTAGGTGCTGAGCTAAACTATATCCTCGTTTAACAAGTATGTGTAGAGTCAGACCTCTTCAATCTTCTTTGAAAGCTAATCCCTGTATCTTTCAGTCCCCGAACAACCACGTTTCCTAAGGATCTTGAACTTTGACAAGGACTCTGTCACGCTGTTGTGGGGACTTCCCAAGAAAGCAAACGGCCATCTTACTGGCTACATTTTGCAATACCAGATAAGTATGTGCTTGTTTTAGTTTGATTTTAGAATTTCAGCATTATTAGTTAAAGAAAAAAAAAGAAAAGAGAAAAAAGAAAAAAAAAAAGGTTTATATGTGGACAGTTATTTAAAACAGAGACTGATGAGAAGGGCAGTTTCTGAGATCTAACAGCATCAGTGTTGTGGACTGCGATGCGCACACAGCCTGCTAGAGGGCAGGCTAAAGTCATCTTCAGAGCAAAAAGTTTTCCATGCACTTTCCTGATGTAAACTCACATTGCTGCCATGCCCTAATTCACATTTATAGACTACTTCAATTATTTCATATTTCCAAATTATACCTACATAGTAATTAAGAAGACCCATAATTTGTAGGTGCATTTTACTGAAGTGAAACTTATTCAGTGCAAAATAATTTGTCACTAGCCACATTTATTCAGATCTTCACAGTAATGTCAGTGAGCACCTCCTCCCTGTACAATGCCTCAGCAGAAATGTAGACAGCTACCACCTGGGTCATGTTACTGATTAATCACATTAATAAACAACTGCATACCAGGAGTATTTATTTCTTTCTTTCCTATGAAAGAACTGAGTAGCTGGGAAGAGACCAAGCAGATAACTTCAGGCAAGATCCAGTATTAGTCCCAGACTGCCACAACACCAGCTGTGTGGTGTGGTTCAGGGTATTTTATATGTTCTTTGAGGATGGAACAGGCTTAGACAGTGCCCTACTTACAAAAAAACCCCAACAAGTAGTTTTCACTAACCCCTGCTGATAATGGAACTGCCCAGTTGCCTTTGCAAGCAAGGTCTGGAGTCTGGATGTTTGTTTTTGATGACCATGAGCAGAGAATGGATCCCTCTATTTAGGCAGTTTGGGGGTTGCAGCCCCTCCTTCAGCTGCCAGCTGTGCCAAGGCAGAGGGGAGAAAAGCAGAACATCCATCTGGTAACTTGCTTGCAAAAGTTTGCAGATGTTTGGAAGCAAAGCAAGAAGCAATTGATATATATTTAATGATCTAGGAGACAGTAATTTTTACCTCCCACTCAGTATGTGAATATCTAGAATCAGAGAGCTTTTTAAGAACAGTAATAGCTCACTGAGTAGCTGGGAGATTGACATGGATGAGATAAATTCCATTAAAGTACTTGGCAGGAAGGTGAGATATGCTTATTCAGGCTTCATCCTTCCTACTTACTGCAGAGTGCCTCCCTTGCAGGAACGCTCATGACACATTTCATGTTCGTAGCCTGTAGCTGCTGGATGTGACTCAACTGCCTTTTCCCTTTCAGTAAATGAAACGCATGAAATCGGACCCCTGAACGACATCAGCGTGACCAACCGTTCCACACTCAGCTGGAGGCTTTCAGGTCTCAGCTCCAGTACCAAGTACAAATTCTATGTAAAGGCTTGTACAGTCAAAGGCTGTGGGAAGCCGGTCACAGAAGAAGGACTAACGATGGCTCAAGGGAGTAAGTTAATAGGCAATATGTTTTTATGTGGAGAAGCTCTAACAATAATGAAAAAATCTATTGAGAATATTCTAGGCTTGACATTTCCTTTGTAATTAGAGGAAATAAATTTGTTTTTCTTTCCATGAGAACAATCAATGAACTTTTTAATGTAGCCATCCATGCAGCTCGTCAGAAAAGTAGAGCTTATCTGTTTCATTTTGCAGTACAGTACTGTGTTTCTATTCCCACCGATCAACTCTAGCTGTACTAGAATAGGAGAATTGTATTTAGTCACAAACAGAAAATTGAAGATCTAGATAACCTGTTCTCAGTAAACAAATTCTGCCCTTGCATGAAGATGCAACATTAGGGGGCAGGTATTTGACATGGAAAATCTAGATAAACATAAAGATGACTGCAATGCATTCGATCCATTATTTTATTATTATTTTATCAGAGACTGGAAGTGAGCATTTGTGTGCCACTTAAACCCTATCCTAAAGCACTCATGTTCAGTGATTTAAAGGAAAATTGCAAGCACAATATGATAGCTCATCTTTCACATTCAGCTGAAATGAAATAAAATGTACTGTGCTCAGCAAGTCTGAAACCTCTACAATACTGAGGAACAAATCCTTGCTATTAATCAGAAACCATTGCTGTGCACTTACCATGGGGAAGGAGAAAGAGAATGTGATAAGGAAAAGATTCCTGGCTTCATCATTTTTAGCAATGATAACAGTCTGGAACAATGTTCATATAAAATAGAAAAATGGTTCTTGTTGCACAACATCCTATTGGACTTCCAAGTTGCAGAACATCTTCACTAACTGGTAAAACAAGTAAAAAGTGGTTTAAACTCATGACATCCCTGTTCAGCATCCAGTCATCAACAATCATCCATTTTGTCAAGTAACGAAACTCCTTCTCAACTGTCTTGTAGCCTCCAGTCTCACTGTAGTACACAGGTACTCACAGAGTAGTAATAATTAAACAATCAGCGTGGCTTAAAATTTATTCTTTGTTAAGGACCTTTTTTTTTTTTTTTTTTTTTTCCTTCCAAGCTAAAAATATACAATTTAAACTCCATAGTTACCTTTTTCTGGCCTTCATTGGGCAGCCAGAATAATGTGTTTTGCCCACTTGAAAGCCTCTAAATTCTTTGAATAACCTTGTCAGGTTTTATGAAATGCATCCCTGCCTGATATGCTTAAAAGGATGATAATGTTGCCATTTGTTTTGTGCTCATTCTCTTCTTTCCTAAGACTTTGTTTCAGCAGTGGCAACAGCTCATTCTTGTGAAATGCTTGTAGAATAAAGCAGTATAATTAATAAAAGCCGCAAGGGTCCAGTTCTGCAATTAGTGTGCGCTCCTTACTGGTTCTCAAGCCACCTTAAATTAGGACACTGCATCTGTCACTGATGCCATTAGAGTTTTGTGTCATTATTTGCTGGCTAAATTGTTTGGATATTTTTCAACTAAACATGATAGGCTGAAAAAAAAATCACTCTTTTCAGTGACCTTCTTGGTGTTTTAAGTTGTGGTACAGGAAGCAAGGTAATTTCTCAGAATTAAAGAAATCTCTCCTTTTGAAAAAAGGCAGTGATTTCAAAAGTCAAAGTTTATAATTTAAAATGACCCACGTAAATAACAGATATAAAATGTGGTGCCCTCTGAAATGAAACTCCGAGATGGAGCACTCCAAGTTTCTTTGGGTTTTGATTCAGTGATTCTATATCCACAATGTTCTGGTTTTAGTAATAAAAATATAAAGCTCTCATTGTTCATTTTGAGACTTTGAATAGCTTCCAGAGCTGTAATATTGCTTGCGCAGGCCATGCCATGGGTATTTCAGAACTTCATGATACATTTTGCCAGGAGAGTGGTAGAAGCTTTGGATTCATTTACATTTTATCATTGATGTACTTGATCTGCATCCCTACTATTGTTTTCATTTATTTGCAGTTATCCTTGCTACTATAGTCTGGAATCAGAAAGAAAATTCAGTCTCTTTTTCTAATATGTACATATGCACGTATGCGTGTATCACCGCTAAAAGAAAGTCTGTGTAGGGAAAATTGTTGAGCTTTAAATGGTAATTTTACTAGCCTGTAACCCACCTCCTGATGATGAGTTTGCAATGGCGCTAATGGCTAAATTTAGGAAAAAATGTTCCTCTCAAATAAATGTAACTCCCTAGATAAATGAGTAGATCATACCCTTTCTCTACAACTGCAGCATCTTCCTCTGTGAATGAACCATTTTTTGTCAAGAGTAACAAAATTTCTTTGGGTGAGCAACACTTTACCAAAAGGTCAATGAGTGTATATCGATAGGGAAAGACCATCTCATGCTCACATCTCTATTTCTTTGTTCTCCAGCAGTTCAGTGCCCCATTCTGCATCCTGTGCATGTCCGGCAGCATCAGAGGTAGAGCCCTCTGCTCTGCAGTACTGCCTCTGTCAGACAGGCTGTTTCTGTCTAATTAACTTAACAGAGGAAAACCACACTTTAATATTTCTCTCTATGATTAAATTCAGGCCCACTGGAATTAGTGAGAAATAGAAGTAGGCAATATAAAAGCTTTCATTTATAGCATCCCTGTTGCATGACCCAACACCACTGGCATTAGCAGCTAATACAAAGGCAATGAAATAAAAGTCCTCTTTCTTATGAAAGATCTTAAACATAGCCAAAATAACTCAGATATGAAATGCTGATATATAACCAAAGGTGTTTTTCTGGTGTTGATGACATACTGTGGACAATCATGAAGACCCTAGGCAAAAGAATATTTGCATTGTACTGCAAAATAAATAATGCTTTCATTTTTGTGGCTTTCTTGTGGTTTCATTCCACAGAAGAAGGTATACTGTCTTTAGAAAATGAGTTTTACCTCTAAATTTCCATTTTCAGGCAGTATTTCTTAAATGACCTATGAACTAATTAGCTTTCCCCTTGAGAGTGTCGATTTCCCAATGATCATTAGCCCTCAGAAACAACACAAAATAATGTTCTTACATAAGTGAAAAAAGTTAATTTAATATAGCACTTCTTCTTTAACACAAAGCTTCTTTTCATCCAGAGCTACCAGTGTTTCTGGAGGATTACTAAACACGTATTACACATTGAGAATGATTACTGTGTGTCCAGAAATTCAAGCCTTAATGAAAAATTCATCCAGAGGAAGTCATACAACTGTAGTTTTATTTTCCAGAGAGGCCAGAGAATAGAAGTTCACCAGTTTAATTATATTTCAATGGCAATTGGCACATAACTCCCACAGGCTTTTTGAAAATCTTAGCTGGAGGGTACTAACCTCCATGACACACCGTATGACGAGGAGAGTAACCATTAGTTACAAAATATATGGGTTTAGTTCTCTTTTGCCACAGGCACAGTGAAAAAGGAAAAATACAACTGCCTTAGCCATATGTAACCACTGGTATTGTTACCAACAATATACCCTCTGCTCACAATAAGAGAATCTGATGAAATCTTGGTGAAAAGTTTCTTTTTCTGTCATTTATGCCATGCCACTCTGCTGCCTCTTCTCTGGCCAGGGGGCCTGTAGCCCATCAAACCCTGCTGCTAATGACGGGCAGCAAACTGTCCTGCCAGCCTGGGAAAAGGAATACATGGAATATTGCTGGTTTAAACCCTTATCATTTTGAGCAAGAAAAATAGGCATGTTAAATAAAATGTGCTAAATATATCAGTCTGGGAGTACTTTAAGCAAATTTGTGAGTTTTTTTTTTTTTTTTTTTTTTTTTTTTGCTTTTCCCTTTTCTATCACCCTGTCTCAGTACAGCAAACACAACTAGAGAGTAGGAGAAGAGATGAAACAAACTGTAACCTGTCTTCTTGTCTGAGCTCAGACGTCTCCTGCAAATGACAATCAGTACAAATAGATGATCGCTAACTCACCTATAAATTATTCTCAATAGACTTTGCATACTACAGGTTTACTAATCTTTATAGCTTTAAATATTTCTGATTTTAGTATGAATTACCTCCTGCACTAAAAAAGCCCAGAAGATGAAGGATACTTGTGATGCATATTTATACACTTTTAATAGCCAAGCAGTAGGGGAAAACTAATGAAAGTTCAACTTTCCATTTATTGCAACAGATGTATTTAGACAGGTATGGTTATAAATTAAGATTTTGCCCACTATTAGTATTTAGCCATTAGACTGCCAGGTTTTTTTACGTAAGTATGTTTTATAACAGATGTGCCAACTTTTGGAGAACTAGCAGTCTTGTAAGTCTTTGGGGGCAGTTTATATTGTTTTTCCCTTTATGCCATAAGCTTCTATAAAAAATGTGTGTTCTGTTGTTCTCATAAATCTTGAAGCCCGGTAGGAATATTGTAAAATTGCAGTTCAGTGTTTAATGTTCATGCAAGTCCCATGGTGTGGCTGATAAATAGTGGGGGAAGATGAGAAGTGCTGGTGATATGCCTTTATTACTAATGCTTCTTCTCCCTTATTGTAGATTAAAAACCTAACCCAACTGCTTTCAATTTTCTGCAGCTAATTTCTGCAGCTCACTGACCTTTCAGTATGTTGAGCTTTTCCTTATCTGTATATTTTTGCTTTTATTTTTCAGGATGCTACAGTGCTTTTTCTATTCCAACCACCAAACTTGCCCCAATTAGCAATGCTTTCTCCTCTGTAGGTTCTCTATTGAGTGTGTAACACAGGCCTGAAAGAAATCACGTGGAAAGAAACCTCATAATCATCCATCACTGGACACCTGTACTGAGTTTTAAAGAAAAAAATTCTGTTTTCTGTTTTGGGATAGCTGATGTTAATGGTAAATCCTCAGTCCCAGGTCAGGTTGGGCTCAAGCCCTCACTCCAAGTGTCCCAGCCCAGCACTGCGTGGCGTGCCAGGGCAGGGGCATGGCTGGCCAGAGGGGCTAATACAGCTGAACAATACCCTGGCAGAAAAGGGTTAATTTTCAGCCATATCAGTTCCCGCTTTGTGCTTCTGCAAAGAGCTGACTATTCAGAAAGAGGAGGCTGGCACGAGCTGGAAATAAATAGGTGGTAGATGTGGACTGTTTAAGCTGGTTTAAGAAAATGGACAATGAACCACAGCGGTGGGCTACCATGGAGATCAGGGATAAGCATTTTGCTTACCAGGAATTCAGGAGAAATGCTTCCTAAGGAGACTTGTGTTGTGTACAAATTGGACCACGTGGTTCTCATGTCATGCCTAGGTGTTATACCTTATTTAATACACAATGGGTTGGAGGTTCCCATTTGTTCTTGTTGCTTTATGGATAGTGTTTCCATTAAATAATGTTTTTCTAATGTCTTGATTTTAAAACGTGTAATTAAAATATACCTGTGGTATCCTGTTGATTAATTTGCAGTTTGATTAAAAATTATAGCTCAGTTTCACATAATTCATTTAGCAAAAATTACTGATAGATGGATTAATTTATGCTAATAAGCTGTGCTTCAGTATCAACAGTATTTCAGCTGTATGTGTTCTCTCTAGGTCCCAATGGTCTTCTAATGTAACTGTTTATTGTAATACGTGTACAGTTGCCTCGGAAAACTTATCTTGAACTGCTGCTTTGATTGTGCTTGGATTCGTCTTAATCTTTTTCTTTTTTTTTTTTTTCTTCAGCTGTCAACTAAGCCTTAATCTCTGGAAGCTTCTTGCTTTGCTTGTTTACTAGTTTAAGTATTAACGAGCATTGCTCTACTGTCAGTGCTAATGGTCAAGTAGTTTTCAAATTATACTGTGTGCACAATCCTTAGTTTAGATGACTTTGGATAAAGCAGGCAAATTAGGCAACCGAACACAGTTAAAAGAGTTATATTTATATAAGTGCAGCCCCCCCCAATCTCTCTCCTGCCTTTGAGGGCAGGCGCACTCTCCTGTTGTACCCGTTGGTTGACTAAAGAGATTCCCCCATGTCAACACACATTTGCTTGTATGAACAGGCTTTTCATGTTCAGGCAGTGATTGCTGCCCTCTCTAGATGTCCTTTTTTCTGTTATCCACAAATGCTATTTAAAAAAAAAAAAACAAACAAAAAAAAAAAAAACAACAAAAAAACCCTACAGTCTTAATGCAGACAGAAATTACGGTAGGCATTTTGCAAGTAAAAACGATCTAAAACTAGGGCTGCTGGAATTTCCCTTCTACCTCTTACTCAGATATTAAACTCACCAGGCACATTGAAATGCCTAAATACCAATTTAAAGGCAAACTTCAGCTATATCTAAACCACTGCTTTGTGCAGGCATTGTGGAATTTAAAGGACATGGAAAATCACTGTCAGGAGAGAAATGAGTACAAATCCCAATGTTATTTTTTTCCATGAGACATGTAAGAATCCGTTTCCAGATAACAAGCTGTCTGTGCTTCCCCGCTGCGTTCCGTTCAATGGGAGAAGCAGCAAACCCCAGATTATCTATACAAAGCAAGCCCATTTTCAGGTTGTAATTTTTTAAGCATGCATTAGTTAAAGCAGGTCCATAATCCCCCATCAATATTAACTATCATCCTGGGAAATGTACAACCCCCTTCATAAACATCAGGATTACTTCAGTCTGCTGTTTATTTTATCTGATGGAATATTAAAAATCAAATAGGGGGCATGTTTTTTACTTCACTGCCTGCTTTTAAGAATCAGATTATCTGATGACAAATGTTAAAAATCCTTGTGTGTCATATTTGTGTGTTATTTACCTTATTTAATGAGTGTGCATTTCACAGGCCTTTTGTTCAATGAAGACCATTAATCAATATGACTTGAATATGTACGTTCCATAGGTAAAGGGATCGGCAAGATCTCAGAAGCAGTAAAGCCCACCCAAAAGTTTCACCCCATTGAGGCACTTGAGCCTGGAACTGAATATACAGTTCGTCTAGTGACTAAGAATTGGGTTGATAACAATAGCATTTTTGAAGATGTAATTGAGACAAGGGGGAGAGGTGAGACATGAAACCCTTCAAGGTGATAAAGATTTATTTTGAATGTAAACACATGTTGAAGTTACATCTTACATTGTGCAGTGAAAGTGTACCGAAATCATGATTTTGTTCTGTGATTTTTGTGTTGACCCTTGCAGTTGAATCCCATGGGAGCATAAATGCATCCATGGTTCTTGGCTGAGCACTGTGCCTTACTTGACGCACAATAGCCTGGAACAATTACAAACGTTTACAAACCGGTTTTCCTCCTATGCGATTTTGAAAGGGTAGTGCTGTGATATAATCCATTTTAAGTGTGCCAGTCCAGTGGTCTGCATGTGTTGGGTGCCCTTTTAACTCTGTTTCTTTTGCGAAACTGCTTTTGCATGAGAGGCTTAACAATTCTCTGTTCAGCTTTCTTATTTGGCATTAATCCTGTGAGTCAGCTACTCTCTCAGAAGTACCTTTCCAAAATGTCTGTATTGTGCCTTGTAGACTGAGCATTCCCCTTAAGTCTAAAAATGTCACGCTCTGAACATATTTTTGTCTTGCATTTCTTTAAGTTGAACGCAATAAGAAGTGATAGACTGATTCAATTAGGATCCAGTTAAGAACATGCTATGTATTCATGTTATAGTAGGGCGATGCCCTTTTCCTCTGATTAATTTTCTTCTTTTTCACTCCTCTTCTGTTTCACAAAGCCTATGCTGGCATTTACGATGGAATTTCCACGCAGGGGTGGTTTATTGGACTGATGTGTGCCATCGCTTTGCTCACCCTACTGCTGCTAACTATTTGCTTTGTCAGAAGAAATAAAGGAGGAAAATACTCAGGTAAATGGATTTATTGTCCTTTCGCTGTGTTCACATGTTAATAACAAGCATCCTTCAGACTTTTACCTCTGGAGGCTGCAAAGCCACAAGCAGAAACATCCAATTAGGATTTGTAGCTTTTGATAAATATCCTCAGGATGGATTCTAATGAATATAAGCGAAACTGTACTCTCTGGGTAAGATAGTGCTGTGTGTTGGTCAGAGATCTTGCTAAGGCCTTTGATAGTGCTTTTTGAATCTTCAGTATTCAGTCCAGCTGTAGAGGCAAGGTCCTTCACCAGCTGCACCTCTGAGCCTGCCTCGATGGGTCTACTGCTCACTTTTCACCTCATAACTGCTGCGTGACATACTAACTGACATAACTACCATGGGTAGACAAACTGCTGAACAATAGAGTGTTTTGCTGAAGGTAATACTGTAGTTTTCAAAGCAGTGAGTAAGGATTTAAGTATAGATCTGGTTGCCCAGAGAGGTGGTAGATGCCCCATCCCTGGAAACATTCAAGGCCAGGTTAGACGGGGCTTAGCAGCCTGGTCTAACTGAAGATGTCCCTGCTCACTGCAGGTGGGTTGGACTAGATGACCTTCAAAGGTCCCTTCCAACCCAAACCATTCTATGATTTTATGATTCTGTAAACACTTGCTAGCTTTCTTAAAAATTAGGGATTGGCCCCAAACCCTTGATGGAAGCGTGCTGGTTGTGTCTGGCCAGACGTGCAGTGCGAGCTGCTGCCCTCCAGGTTAGGCTGTAGGTGACGGGTGGTTTTCCCATTGCACCTGCATACAGAAAAATCCACAGCAGAACATACAGATCTGTGCTTTATTTTATTTGTACAGTGAAAGAAAAAGAAGATTTGCATCCAGATCCTGAAGCTCAATCAATAAAAGATGAAATCTTTGGGGAATATAGGTAAATAGGACCTGCTTTAACAAGTGTTTCTGGTTGGGGGGGTGTTGTTTGGTTCCAGCTGTCATCATTACTTAGGACATTTTTATAGCATGCAATTAATGCTATTTTTCATTTTCAAAGCAAACCACACAGGAGTGGATACTAGTAAGAATATAAAGGTATATCCTGTATACTTAAATACATCCAGGTTGGGATATAAGCAAATGTTGATGTATCAGTGGCTATTTTTCACTTGGTTTTCATTTGTTGGTTTGTTTTGTTTTGTTTTGTTTAATTAGCATTGTATGAATAATGTAAATATATATGATAATTTGGGTTCCTGCTGTAATAGCCAGTGAAGTCAAGAGAGACTTTTATGTCTTCAGTGGGTTTCTGAAACTAAGTCAAACCCAAATTGTGTAATATGGGGATGTTCTTTTTATGGAAGAAAACAAAATTTTGAAATATGGTGAGAGATGGTGAAAACCCAAACAAAGCTCACTACAGAAGTTTCTGTAGGAGAACTGAAATAATTACTTTGGCTGCTTTAAAATAACTAAAGCTTACAATATTATGTAACTGTGGTATGAAGAAAAATACATCATTATAAGAACAATGCTGGAAAACTGGTGTCACTGACCTTAAGGGCATAAAACTTCTGTTGAAATCCCGCTTATATATACTACATTATTTGTACTGGAATAGGGTTTTTTTTCTGCATAATTTCATCTTTATTTAATTTTTAATGCTTTCTAATGGGACAAATATTTAGAAAGGTAAGAAAGTCCTGAGGTTAATAACTTTGACCCCCTCCTTTCACCCCAAACTCCAAACGTCTTTTATATAAATAGAAATGCCATGTGCAGAAAAGTTGCAAATATTTTTACTGTATTGATTATTATGTTACTGATTACATGCTGACGAGTTAAAGTTCAGGAACATTTCTCTGTCCTGCCCTAGATAACATAACCAAAGCTTTGACACTGAGTTGGCATCAGCAAGGGCCATAATTGAGTAATTATGTACTTAGTTCAGAGGCCTAATTATTTTTTTGGTAAGCTTTTAATCTATGTTCCCCATCCCCCCCAGATGTCACGTTCAGTCGGGAGAAGTCAGGCTGCTTTGGTTCTTCTTCTGTGGTGCCATTAGGAGGAATGACCAGTGGAATTTCCTTTTTTTTTTTCCTGAATTTTGGTGGTGGGTCTGTCTTTTTCACAAAATTGCCACTGAACATAGACTGCATATGAGCAGATACAGACACTCTGATTCTGCTTTCATTTTATCCTGTTCCTACCCTTTAGCAGAGAGAAACTCCATCAGTTACAGTAAGATAACAGCAGAACGAATGAAAAAAGGGAAAAAGGCCCCTTTGCTAGTCATCTAAAATCAAACAAATGCTCACAAAGCAGTAAGGTGTAACCTATAGCTGATGCCTCATCCCACAAGTCCACATCAGTTCACCCACCCACCTCAAAAGAAAAAGGAAATAAATAGGCCCTGAACAGCACCCACTGTCTTGTAAAATGAAAATGTCTCTTTCTGTAAGATGCCGACGACTCAGCATCAGCACTGATTGCTGGAATGAATCCCTCAGATCCTTTCCAACATTTCCTTTTCTTTCCCCTTCACTTTATGTCCATTCTTTTGTCTGTCCAAGGCAAAAAGGGAAAAAAAACAAAACACACTTGTAGTTTTCATTGATGTTTGCCTTTTTAACCAATTCCATTGTTGTGATAATCACAAAATCATGTATGTGGGGAATTCAGGTCGGTGTGCATGACCTGTTTGAGGTGCACCGGACCAAGCAGGACTCATGAGGTCAGATCATTCTCAGCGTACAACCCACATAGAAATGTTTCCCCCGTTCTTCCCTCTTGTTGCTTTCTTTTGCAATAAAAGAGCAATTTCCGTGCCTGTAATTAAAAGCTAGATTTTTGGAAAGGCGTTTCTTTGTTTTGTAGTGACAGCGATGAAAAGCCGCTGAAAGGCAGCCTCCAGTCAATTAACGGGGACATTAAAGCCACTGAAAGTGCTGATAGTCTGGTAGATTATGGAGAAGGGGAGCATGGGATGTTCAATGAAGATGGTTCATTTATTGGAGCTTATTCTGGATCTAAGGAAAAAGGATCAGTGGAAAGCACTGGGAGTTCTACGGCAACTTTTCCTCTCCACGCCTAAAATATAAGCAAGAATGATTCATGTTTAATTGTGATATTTATCTTGATTAGTACTCCACAGTTACCACATGTGATTGGAAGCAGGTTGCCAATTGAGCCAGTCAGGAACCTGACATCCAGGTAATATAAAAATAAGTCACTGCCACTAAAAGATGATTTTCCATCCTAATTTCTAGGTGTTTTCTTCTAATTAAAACAAAACAAATAATTCGTTACTATACAAAATGTCTTAGTCTTACCAAAACAGAATTACTCAGTGTGACATCTGTATATGTAACTGCTAGTCCATGTGTTTCTTATGTTTGGAATATGTTTCTCTTGTATAGTATTTTTTCTTCCTATGTGGCTGTTGTCACTTTGTACATACATTTATATATAGTATTCCCTCATGTACCATGGCCTCGGCATTGTAGAGGTTATAACACAACAAGAAAATCAAACAAAGACAACAGGTTACTCTGCAAAGTGACACAATGCATCCTACTGAGAAAAATGATAATTTAAAATACTGGAGAAATATATTCTATATATTGTATAATTTTTCATTTTAAAAAATAAACTCCTTTGCTTATGATACTCTAAAATTATTTTAGTGGTTACAGCTGACTGCAATTACCAATACTTAGAGATGCAACTTTATCCACAGAAAAATTGCTCTTAAAAGACAAAGCTCTGGCCTTGTGGATGAATCTTCTGTCCAGTAGCTGGCACTATTTCCTTAAATAAGTTAAGCTGCAGTATCTTTCCTGTGGCAAGGCAAAACAGGGTTCGCATCCACCATCGTTAGAAAGTTTGTTTTCCCGAGTCTCTACAAGCTGCATTTCTAAGCAAGATGCTTGTTGTCTGTCTCATATCTGTATATTTGTGCGCTAGCATACATTTCATGGAGAAGTTGTACATATGATATTAATATTGACACAAGTAAAAATCAGCCGGGTTTTATTTTGAAATGCGACATGTTGCTAGCATGAGTCTGTATAGCTGTGTAGGATGAATAGAATTGCTTCTCAGTATGGGTTTGGACCAGCAAAACTAGTTTTCAGAAGGAGTTGTGTGTATACCAGTCATATAAATCTCACATCTTCCTCGTATTACATAAAATAGATGTACCTGACTTTCAAGAGATCATTTATTTTCAAGCTATTCATTGTTAAATAAACAAAAGCGAAAGCAAAGAGAAAATATTATGGTAGAGTTTCATTTATATTTTGTTTACTGAATGCTGGTTTAAACATGGTTCTTTTCTTTGCCTCTCCAACACTAACTCAGCAAAGCTGTACAGCACATTTTTTTGGTCTTTTTGTATTGGAATCTCCTGAATTACTTTAAAAGCATTTGTATTTTCGAATATGCTTATTTGAGTAGAGTATCAATATGGCTTCGTTTCTTCTTGCACTTACAAATGACTGTCACTTCAATTATAATATCTTTTAAATAGCTACTGCAGGAGGAATATATCCTAAAAGCCATTTGCATCGTGATAGTAATTAGGCAAATATCCCCAATGGCTCCTTCATGGTCTCTATTACTTCAGTGGAAGAAAGAGAGGAAGCAAGAATTATTCGCATGGTTACGAGTTTCCATTAATGGCTACAATTACGACCTGTTAGTTGCCCACAGAAATGCAGGTTGCTACCAGTAGAAAGGCCATAGTTTATACACAGCTCACCTTAGCTTGGGCTCCTCCCCAGGGCTCATCGAGTTCTGAAAGTAGGAGTGGCCTTTGGTGCTCAATGCTTCTGCATATCTGTTCCTTTTTTTTTTTTTTTTTTTTTTTTTTTTT